TTGATTTTGTACTCTTACAAGAGTATGTAACATGTAATTACAGGATATTCACTCTCGCGATAGTGCTCAAGGAAATCGCTTTTCTCGCCTCGGCACGCGCCTACGCGGAATGCATCATGGTTAGGTAAAATGCACTCACTCGTATTTATTTTTTTTTTATTATCTGAGGACTAGGCTAACGAGGACGCATTTAACATACATTTTTTTTGTTATTTTTTACATTTTCGTCATGATATTTATGCCAATATTTTTAGAAATGTATTTTCTTATTACACCTTAATGTATATTGGCAATATTATAATATCTATTGTTTAAATACGCTTTACAAAATCATGCTTAAAATATTCAATTTATTAATCAAATATAAATACGAATAAATCTCATGTGCATCTAATATTATAAATAATAAAATTTTTATTAAAAAAAGAGTGATAGATAGTATTCAGTTTTGTTAACATTAGACTTCTCCCTAAGAATCTATCAAACGATCAATATATTTTGATTAACAAATAAACATTAATTATTAATATCTACAAAAATGAATTTACTTTTTGTCAATTATTTAATATACGACCAATATTATGCGCTATAAATAAAAGATACTCATGAAATTATCGGTAGATTTAGTGTTTAATGATCGATAAAAGATTGCTCGATAATATTGCGAATATTCTGCAACATTACATTTACGATTTAATTAATTAGTTCATCGAACGTGGGAAGAAACGAAAGGGAAGAAGAAAAAAGGGAACTACATACATCCATACATACATACGAAAAGAGATTTGCATTGGTAAAAGGACAAAAGGGGGGAGGGGAGGGGAGAGTTTGGCAGAGAAAAAGTTAGAAGCAGTAGTGGGATTTTCAGGGACAGTGCGGATGGATTGGTGGGAATGGGAGGAGGGTGAAAGAGTGTAAAAGAGAGGTGGTATATCTTTCCTTCTCTCTCTCTCTCTCTCTCTCTCTCTCTCTCTCTTTATTTAACTCTTTCATACTCTTTTCCTCTTAAAGAGATGCGGTCGAAGACACGAGACACCATGGTCGCGTTCGTTCGTTACATAAGTAAGGTAAAGGATCTCCTCCTGGTGCTCTCCTTGAGCCAATCCACATCCGCGATTATGCCACTTTCCATCGACCTCGCTTTACCCCGAGCACTGCCTTCTTCTTCTTCTTTTTCTTCTTTCTTTCCCTCCCTCCCTCCCACCCCTTCCTACCTCCTGCCCTACCCCTTCTCGTTCTCTCTTTCTTTCGCACGTGGGATGGATGCATAGCCGAAGTGCATCCATTAGCGAATCTTTTTCCATTTTTATTCCTTTTTCCTCCCTTATTTTTAAGTTTCTCTTTATCGATTTTTCATTCTCGATCATCTCGATATATTATTATTCATTTTGTTTATCCTCGTTCTTTGTTTTAAAAGAAAGTTCTTTGTTTAATGACGCTAAATCTCTATTTTTTTTTTTTCCTTTTTTATGGATGGTTTATATAATTATTTTAATTGTTGTTTTGCATTTATATGCAAATGGTGTCGCAGTATGTTTTTTTTATATGTTGCGTACGGTATTCCATTTTATGATTTAGAATTTTTGTTTGGTTTCTTTACTTTTATTTATATAACACACACTATTATGCATCTCGAATATTTTTATCCATGTGCTTAGCTTGGTTTTTTATTTTCTTTTTATTTTTTCTTTTCCCCCGTAACCGGTTAATTGACCGGTCTACGAAACGAGTTACACTTCTTACAATTAATTTGCAGATAATAATCTATTTAGTACGAGGTTAAATAATTCATAAAATAATATTTATAATTATAATCCTTGTGTTGAGAATAAAATGGAAATTAATACGAGCAATAAAGTTGAATGAATGAAAAAAAATGTATAACCGGTCGTGTTAAGATTTAGTTTACATTCATTTGATATTAATAGATAAGTTTGCGTTCTTATTTATATTTATATAAAAGATCATTGTCCTATACGTTTGTGATTTTTTATTCATGAGATTCCGTTCTCATTCATAAAAATGTTAAAATAATGTAAATCTGTTTGTTTAACGTTTTCATTCGATACGTCATTTCATTCGATTGTTCTATTTAATATTAATCATTAAATAATATTGTTAGTGTATTTTTTTATATTGCGCAAAAAACTTTATTAACGTCCTGCCATCTATCATGAATCGGATTGAACTAATCGGCGCGTAAAAAGATTTGTGATATTATAGTTCAGATTTGAATCTTATGTGATTATCGTTAGTTGATAATTCATAATCCATATCTGATAAAAGAATACGTGAAATTATTTTCAATATCATACCGATCTATAAATGATATTTTTCTAAAATTTTAAATAACAACTTAACACAACATTTTCATATATATATATATATGTATATCAAGTCCTTGAACGATAAAAAAACTTAAACATTATTAACTTACCGAAATAAATCATAATAATTTGTTCGTTGTTGATTACTAATAAATATTCCCATGGCACACATAAACATAAAACTCGTTGAAAAAATCCGAGTTTTTGTTTCATTTGTAAATAATTACATTTATTTGATCAATTTTACAGTGTGTAACAGTGTATGTCATACGCTGAATATAGAATAATCTCTTTTTTTATAATCTGTTTTACTAATTTAAGGCGATTAGTATGTGAGTTGATCCGTAAGAACATATTGACGAGTGTAACTTATTTTCGTCAGGATATTTATTTATTTATTTATTTATTTATTTATATATATATATATATTTTTTTTCATTTTTTATTTTTTACTTTTCACCATCATCATCTCGTGTCTGACGTTCATATGTATTATTTTATGCATCATTCGATACGATATATATTAAATATCGTAAAACGTTAGTTACTCTCTATATGTATTCGTGCGGATAAGGCCACAATTAGTATGTTCCACGTGTGCGTAATTCGCACACTAGTATTTACGTATACTTGTGAGCGTGTGTGTGATGAATTTAATTTACTTTTATTTTTTTTTGTTTTTTTTTATTTTTTTTTTTTATTGTTTGTTTCGTTTATTCTTCTTTCGTGTTAGTATGAAAAAAATGCTGTGATATCAATCGATTACATACGTATAAATTAACGCGTGTGTATTTCGTTACGGAGTAATATTACGAATGTGTGTTCTCTTATGTTAAACTATCGAATATTATTCTACATGTTTCTTTTTGTTTTGTTTTACTTTCTTTTCTTTCATATATATATTTTACATGAGTTAAAATGCACCCTCGTGCAAGTTCTTTGACTCCGTTATATCAACTCACGTTTTTTATACGCATACCCATGTATGTAAGTATGTAAATATTTGTGTCTGTGTGCGTGTGTGTATGTATGTTTGTACGTATGTATGTCTGTATGTATATATGTATATAGTTAGAATATGATTTCATTTATATAGAGTGTCTGTATTTATTTGTTCGATCAGGTGTATACATGTGTATCTTTCACACATGTATAATATATATATATATATATATATATATATTATATATATGTA